TGGGGAATTCTGGGAGTTGAAGTCCACACAGCTTAAGGCTGCCAAGGTTGAGAAACCCTGGGTTAGAGCAATTCCTATTATCCCTAAGCAGCACAGCCCCTAGTCATACGCTCTGGGGATTATGGAAGCTGACGCACGACTCATCTGCAGGGTTTCAAGGCTGAGGCGGCTGCTTTTATGGAATCCCTCAGGGCCAGGATCATCCCATAGAAATGGCAAGGATGAATCACGTGCCAGCCACAGGCAAAGCACACGTGAAGCCCTCCGTTGGCTGAATGACAGACCCTTCTTTCAAAAGAGCCTCTTAACATTTCAGTGAGCAGAGCCACGAGGACAGAATAACGCAGCAACGCTCAGTAGGTTTGCTAGTTGCACAAGGCTCATCTCCACCCCTCCCGAAGGAGCGTTTTGACCCAGGCGGCCCCTTCGCTGGCTTGCGACGACCTGCAAAGAATCTGGGACTCTTGGCAGGAAGTGCACGAGATCCTAGTTAAAAGCAGTGAAGGTGTCCTTGGCGTCTTCAAGTGTACGTAACTCTGCAGCACACAGAAACGCTACTCACCGTTTTAACCAAGTACAGGCTGTCCTTGTTATCCACTGGAATAATTCTGTAGGGGAAAAATAGGCTTTTAGGAAGCTTTCGTTGCAGCGTGAGGCAGACCAAGTGGCACATATCAAACATTCGTATCCAATAGGGTAAAGTTGGGAAAAATAAATTAAAAAAAGACCAGCATTGGGAAAGTAGGATATTTTTTAAAATCTCCTCACAGAGAATGGATTCTCTTCACCCAGCAAGGCTCTCCTTATCTATTGACCCTCAGAGGGAGTAATTTTATCACAGCTTTCCCTGATTACAAATTGTACTCCATTGTTTATTTTTACAAAGGCTGGTCAACGACTGTAATAAAGATATTTGATTTGATTTGATCATAGCAGTAGCTACTGAAATAAAGTCTTCTTCAATTCAAGCTTTATTCCTAGTGACTTCATGGGCACTTCCAGGTTGCCTTCTGGGCAGCAACAAGAAAGTTGCTGGTCACAGCCTTCTTCCAGAACATTACTTGACTTCCTGGTCTAGTCTACAGCCTAGGGATCTCCTGATGGCTTCCTATTCTAAATTTGAATCATGCCTGGCCCCGCTTAGCTTCCAAGATAGACAAGGTCAACTCTGAGGCCATCAGAGTTTTGTTGAGCCCCACGGAGCTGGGAAAGATCAGGGAAGCACGACCTACCCAGCTTTCAGCGAGGGATCTTTCATGTTTCTCAGGGCTAAATACAGAAACCGTAAGAGGCATTTCCCAGCCTGATTTAGAGTGAGTGAATCCAGAAGAGACTTTGAATGATTTGAAATGTTTCTTCCCAGGTTTCTCACCGCCTGGGCTGAGGGGCTGTTCATGCAGAGTCAGGGAGAGAGCCTTGAAGCAAATATTCAGAAATGGTTATGTACGCAAGGACAGTAGCTTCCCATGGCGTGGGGCTGGGTTATCTGCAGGACCACCTCCCCTTGGTTATTTCTACCTGTCCCACTAGGTCCGCCTACAGGGGCACATGCTGGGTCCCTTCCATTAAAGAATGTCATCTTATGGGACCTTTTCTGTCGCAGCCCCTGCCCTATGGGACACCATACCCCTGAGGCCCCAATCCTGTCAGCCTTTCATAAAGCGTTAAAGACCTGGATGTGCTCCAGGGCCAGGAAATCAGGAGGCTAGATAGCCTGTTGAGAGGTCTCTATTGTTTTTTTTTTTAAGTCATTCTTTGTGACCATTGTTAATTGTGTATCCTTTGCTAATTTTTTTTTTAATCGTTTTAACCCATTGCCAGCCATCCAGAGTCTTATTCGTGAGATGGGTGGCCATATAAACTAATTCAAGAAATAAAAAAATAAATTCCTTACGTCTTGGAAAGGGAGATAGTGTTAAGAAGAGACTCAGGTTGATTCCTCAGGTTGATGTAAGAGGGAGGGGAGAAGAACCACAGACAGACTTGCAAGATTCTGTTCCTAGAGCCTATCTCGAAAAAAGCCTCGTTCTGGTCTTCCTGTGGATTTGCTGTCAGCCCTTCGAGTTAGTCCAGACAAGAAGCACAAACTGTGGGTACTAATACTACCTTTATTGTGAGGTTACAGTAACAGAATCTTGCAAGTCTTAAAGTATTTCTCCCCTGCTTTACTTTTACTTTCTAGAAAACTAGAGAGGGTCCCTTCAGAGACGCTTCTCACAACCCTCTTCCTTCTATGGGCTGAGATCTCTTTTGCACGATGGTTGTCTAGTCTGTGGCTCTTCCTCCTGTCTCCCAAGGTCAGCCCCACAGATCATTCCAGTTGCTTTCCCAATCTGCTCTACCCCAAAGGGCTGACAGTTAGAAGATAAGCTCCCAACTGACTCAACTTCTATCTCTTGATTGTGTATGTCTCCCTCCCACCCATTCCTTTCCTGGGCTCTCTATCTTCTCTCACACATTATTAAGCACCACTTGTGTATTTGCAGGGTGCTCCTTTCAAATGAGACACCCGTGTCAAAAATGCCACCCCCAGAAGCAGACAAGCAGCACTGGCAGCCAAAACAGATGGCATATAATCTGGTCTTCCCAACCTGGATCTTCATGCAGAGAATACCAAATGTTATCTTATGCTGGACTGCCACTCCAGCAAAACTCTGCCTGCCTCAACTGCTGTTTGCTTTTTGCTCCTTGATGATGGGGGCTGCAAATGTTCAGATTATGGAGATAAATGTTGTCATCCGTGTTGCCTTCTTTTTGATCGGGCTATTGGGCTGTGAGATTTCTACAATGGTTTAATATTCTTATGTTGGAATTTAAACGGCATATATCTGCTTGTACGAGCTTCGGTGATGGCCTTTGCGGAGGCGTCTTTCTTGGGTCTTCTCTTCAACTAAGCAGCAATTCAGCCAGGGAGCTTCTAATTAACCGTAGCTCCCCATTTCATCTGAATCCAGGGAATCCCAGTTAAATGAAAAGTTATGGGAGACAATGTTACTTAAAAGCTCCCTGATGCATCATGGCTCATAATGAAGAGAGGAGGAAGGTGGGGGCTGCAGGCACAAATCTCACACATAGCTTTGATGAATAAGTCAACACTAATTGACCTGATGCTCCTGTAACTCTGGGCTACAACCTACGTCCTCTTGAAATGAAAAAAAAGCTATTTTATACGAATCAATCAATAATCGTTTAAAAATGCATTAAGTAAGACTTCAGCTAATAGGGTAAAAGCTTTCAGAAAGGCTCGGTGATTTACTCAGGCCTTGGGGGTAGGTGGGTGGGAGTCCTGTCTGTG